ATGAAAAGATAGTTTCTGATATCAATGAGACTGATTCCATCTAATGGCAAAAACCTACTTTTAGCCATTTACCTGAATAAGTTTGTAGGTGTTGTCTCCAAAATCTCCCTTTCTGGCCGCGTGGCAGATAAGACTGCGAAGGCATGCCACTCACTTTGCTCAAAGTGAGAAAGAGGGATTCTCGATGACCCTCACTACTTCCAAGCGTGGAACTCGGTTGCGAGTCAATGGAAGAGCACCAGTTAAATAAATTATGAGATGCGCCCTGGTCAGACGATTGTCACAGAAACGGGGGTGCATTCTTGCATAAAGGTCCATAAATAATTGCCCTGGAAGAACATTAGGGACTTCCCACAACTATGGTCAAAATGTTAGTTTGTTGATTAAAATAAAAGAGGAAAATAAAGGAAAGGAGAAGAAAGAGAGTGCATGGCAGGAAAACTAAATTGCAGAAAGAAAGCGTGATGCTGCCGCGAAAGTATGAAAATGTAGAAAACGAAATAGAAGTTGAAGCATAAAACTAAACTTAAAAGAAGCTAGAAAGATGAATTTGGGGCAAAGTGCAATGAATTGAATTGCAAGAAAACTAAATACATCAATGGAGAAGTTCAAAATGAAATAACAAAAATTAGAGTTGAAACTAATGGCAGCGTAGAGTTAAAGACTTAACTAGGAAAGCTGTTTGAGAAAACTGGATCTAAACTAAGACATTGCTTGAAAAACTAAAATGTAGATAGCGCTGGGCTAGTTGTGTGAGAGGCTGATTTTCCCCGCTTCGTTTCTTCTCTGCATACTTATAGCAATAAACACCCTTGGCAGCATGCTTGGAAATCTGTGGCAGTAACTTGACAATCAATGACAGCATGAAATCTGAAACAAACTGATTATTCTGTTGATACTGCCAATTATTCTCCTGGAAGTTCGCAACAAACCAACAAGATTGCTGTAGTTGTGGAAATAACCACTCAACCTTATCTAGAGAGATTTACTCCAACAACTTTCAACTAATGAAATATCTGCCAACATGGATGACACGTGGCATCATTATACTATTTTGCAAAAATGGGTGTAAACAGTAGGTTTTAACCATTCACCTTATACTATGATACTTTCAACTCTTCATATATACGAATTGAAGAAAATAACTCTTATTTAATGTTAGGTTATAATGTTTTGTTAGTTTTATTAATTGATTATTAATTTTGTTAATTGATTATTAATTCTGTTAACTGACTATTAGTTCTGTTAGTTTACTACTAATTCTATTAACTGACTATTAATTTCGTTAATTAACTGTTAGCATTCCGTTAATGGAACTAATAAATAAAATTGAATTTAAATTTTATGTTTTCTATAACAGAATGCTAACAGTCAATTAATAGAATTAATAATCAGCTAACAGAGTATTAAATAAGAGTTATTTTCTTCAATTCGTATATGTGAAGGGTAAAAGTATCATAATATAAGATGAAAGGCTAAAACCTACAAGTTTATTAAGGTAAAAGGTTAAAAATAAGTATTTGCCTCATCTATTAGTTTAAACTATATAGTACGAATGTGAAATATATATATATATATATATTGTGTATTCTGCCACTTTCCTGAGTGGAGAAACATGGGCTACAAATGGGCCCCAGAAGGCCCATACATGGTGATTATATGTCGTTCCACGCAAAGCCCTTAGCGGCTAGCGAACCAGTCCAATTGGGCCTTTGTCTTGGACCGACGAGTGCATCTTACTTCTTAGTTCTTACGTATGTGTGGATGGATCATGTTTCGGGTACACGAACTCAGAAATAGGGAAGAGAAAGTGTAAGAGAAAGATGGAGATGGAGATGGAGATGGAGATGACTTCTTTAGTTTGGGAAGAAATTGAGCGTTCAGGCAGGTAATTGAGCAACTTCTGCTACATTTCAACAACGAAATTAGGTTACTTGGATGAATTTTATGATATGGGTTT